ACATTACGAAAAAAAAAACCAGTGTGCTTTTAAGATACTCTTATTGGGCTGGGGATGTAACCCAAAGGTAGAATACTTGTTTCATGTGCACAAGGCCCTGGGTTTAAACCCCAGCACAAGAAAAACAAAGAACGTTCTTATACTCTTGTAATCTAGCATGCAACACACCCTTGATAATTATCAATAATTAATATAAAGCCTACAGAGCTTACAAGTTTTGCCACAATAAAAATAAAAGTATTTCATAAAGTATAAGCCTTAAAGAGAAAGTAGAACCTTATGAGCAGTGACTTTTCATGGTGACAAATAATTCTGTTTTACTATAAGGAAGACTGAAGTATCCTTCTGACACTCTATGATGTGTCTGAGTTAAATGCTAAATATGATATGCAAACTGGAAGAATACAGTCCCTTTTCCAATTTAAATAAAGCATATTTCCCTTTTGTACTTTAGCAAATTTTCCAGCCATAGTTGTGGGTACAAGTTATACAGTAACATGTTTGGGTTTCTTTTTTTGTTTAGCAGTACTGGTGTTTGAACTCAGGTCCTCTTGATCCATGCCCCCAGCCCTTTCATGCTTTAGTTATTTTTCAGTTAAAAGTGTTGAGTTTTTGCCCAGGGCTGGCCTCAGACTGATTCTCTTACTTATGCCTCCCATATTGCTGGGAGGTGTGCATGCCCAGCTGGTAATGTGTTGTTTAAGAATAGTCAGAAAAACCCTAGCTCAGTCTTTGTGATCTAATTGATTTTTAATCACTAAAATATGAAATTAATGTGTGTGAATATTGAGAGATTTTCACAACGTAAAAGAAACATCTTGTATAGCAGTCCTCAACCAGAAGAGCAGGAGGAAATAAGATGTAACATTTGATGAAGAAGTGGGATGAAGGGATACATGAAAAAGGAAAGAATGAGAAAAGGAAGGAAGAATGTAGCAGAGCTGGACTGAATTTGGTCCTACAGTGGCCAAAGGCTGTAGTCACAACTCATATGTTAATGGTTTGATTTTACAGCAGAACTTATTATCTCCATTTTATAAGTGAAAAATGTGGTTATTTTTTTTTATTTCAACAAGTAGTTTAAAGATGTATGCAAACATTGCTTCATAATTAAGTCAACCGTAGATTGTTTTTAAGGAAAAGATACTAGGTTTTGTGTGCTTCCTGCTATTTTGGGCATTTTTCTCACTTTCAGATTTATGTGATCAGTTTGGCTGAACCTCGCCTGCCCCTGCAGCTGGATGATGCCATTCGGCCTGAGGTTGAAGGAGACGAGGTAAAATTTATGTTCACGAAATATGCTTCCTCTGTATATTTAGTTTGTGAAACATTGAGAACCTGATTTTCTACTTTTGTATTAAACATGCCTGTGAATTGATTTGAGCTTCATTTCTATTTAAATTTACTCTTTCAGAGGCTAGGGATGTAGCTAAGTGGTAGAGTGCTTGCCTAGTAATATTCAGCTTTGCAAAAATAAATAAGTAAATAATTTCCACCGGCATGTCTCAGACTTTGGTTTCAAGATTCCTTTTACACTCTTAAAAATATTGAAGACCCCACCCCCTCCAAGCCTTCGTTTTGTTCGTGTGTCATGAATATTTAAAATACAGGAGTTAAATTTTATTTATTAAAAATAACAGTTTGAAACTTACAAGTTTGTATATATCTTCTACAAATAAAAATAACATATTTTCCAAAACAAGAAATAATGTCGTATCAACCAATGTTTGTGATTGATGTCTAGCTTAATATACAACTAGATTCTCATTTTGCCTGTGAATTTACTCTGCTGTGGTAGTACCCATTGTGTAGCCTTTGGAAAGCTCCTCAGTATCCTCACGTAGAATGAGTGAAAAGTATTACTATGAAAATAGAGGTTTGACTTTAGGGACCCCCTGAAATAGTCTCAGGCACCTTTTGTGGTTCCCAGACCACACTTTTGAGAAGCACTATTCTATGTCACCTTTTGTCTGTTCCATCTACCTAGGTCTAGCAGGTTAAATCCAGGAACAGTAAAGGTACAGGTAGTTAATTCTTCTGATGTCCCAATAATGAGGCAAGGATTTTGGGGGGTGTAAAAGAGAGGGAAAAGCAGTAGCATCTGTTCATTCTCATTGCTGTTAGTAAACATGGCTTCTAAAAATGTTGTGTGTGCATGAAAAAATGCTCACCATCTCTAGCAATAAAGGAAATGCAAATTAAAACCACGCTAAGATTCCACCTCACCCCTGTTAGAATAGCCATCATTAGCAACACCACCACCAGCAGGTGTTGGCGAGGATGCAGGGAAAAAGGAACCCTCTTACACTGTTGGTGGGAATGTAGACTAGTACAACCACTCTGGAAAAAAATTTGGAGGCTACTTAAAAAGCTAAACATTGATCTACCATTTGATCCAGCAATACCACTCTTGGGGATATACCCAAAAGACTGTGACACAGGTTACTCCAGAGGCACCTGCACACCCATGTATATTGCAGCACTATTCACAATAGCCAAGTTACGGAAACAGCCAAGATGCCCCACCACTGACGAATGGATTAAGAAAATGTGGTATCTATACACAGTGGAATTTTATGCAGCCATGAAGAAGAACAAAATGTTATCATTCGCTGGTAAATGGATGGAATTGGAGAACATCATTCTGAGTGAGGTTAGCCTGGCCCAAAAGACCAAAAATCGTATGTTCTCCCTCATATGTGGACATTAGATCAAGGGCAAACACAACAAGGGGATTGGACTATGAGCACATGATAAAAGCGAGAGCACACAGGGAGGGGTGAGGATAGGTAAGACACCTAAAAAACTAACTAGCATTTGTTGCCCTTAACACAGAGAAACTAAAGCAGATACCTTAAATGCAACTGAGGCCAATAGGAAAAGGGGACCAGGAACTAGAGAAAAGGTTAGATCAAAAAGAATTAACCTAGAAGGTAGCACCCACGCACAGGAAATCAAATGTGAGTCAATACCCTGTATAGCTATCCTTATCAACTAGCAAAAACCCTGTTCCTTCCTGTTATTGCTTATACTCTCTCTACAACAAAATTAGAAATAAGGGCAAAATAGTTTCTGCTGGGTATTGAGGGGGTGGGGGGGAGAGGGAGGGGGTGGAGTGGGTGGTAAGGGAGGGGGTGGGGGCAGGGGGGAGAAATGAACCAAGCCTTGTATGCACATATGAATAATAAAAGAAAAAGAAAAAAAAATAATAAACTCCAGAACCACAAAAAAATAAATAAATAAAAATAAAAAGTAAATAAAATAAAAAAAATAAAAATGTTGTGTGTGTATATGTGTATGTGTTCAAAAGAATAGTAAAATCTGTTTTGTTGTGTTTTGTTTTTAGGAAGGAAGAGCTACTGTTAACCAGGATACAAGATTAGACAACAGAGTCATTGATCTTAGGGTATGTCTGATTTACTTATTAGTGATATAGTTATGCCAAAATTGAGATGGGCAGGAATACCATAAAGCTAATTGGCATTTCCCTATAGAAGTATAATAATATAAGAAACAATATACGCTTTTGACTGACCTTTCTCCTAAAAAGAGCTCCTAACAAGCTGACTTGCTTTGTTTTAAAATGACCAATGATCATAATGCCAATAAATGGGTCACTTCCAGGTGATGTCTGTTTTGGACAAGTTTAGTCAACAAGTGGAAATGTAACCATTAATATCACTGCAAAATGTAGAAGAAATTATGAGCATGTTTTAGAACAACCAGGTACAGATGAGTAATACCTCAACCCTTTGAATTTGATCTGAGCACAGAATTAATAATAAAGAAGTCCCTGGTGGTTTATACAATAGTCTCATGGGTCTTCTCTTTCCTTTTTAGTTTGGTTGCAAGTAAAAGATTTTAGTGGTTTCATCATTTTAGTAAAACCAATGTCATCTTTCTTTCTTTCTTAATGCTTGACCACATCTTCCTTGTTTACATTTTCTACCTAACTCTCAAATTCCGTATCACCTTAAGAGTTCTTTCCAACTCTTCTGCCCTTACAATACTCTCCATGTTTCTCAGATTCTTTGCTTTTTGTCTGTTTTTACCTTCTCCATTTTAATTTATGTAGAAAAGTGAGAAGTAATTAAAAGGGTTTTTTTGTCATTGTTTTTATGTTTTGTTTTGTTTCTGGGGGTACTTGGGTTTGAACTTAGGGGGCCTCATGCTTGCTAGGCATTCACTCTACCACTTGAGCCACTCTACCAGCCGTTTTGTCTGGTGTTTTTGAGATAGGATCTTGAGAACTATTTGCCCAGGCTGGCTTCAAAATACAATCCTCCTGATCTGTGCTTCCTGAGTAGCCAGGATTACAGGCATGAATTACTACCACCCAGCCTTAAAAATTTCTTGATATTGCTAGAAACCTCATGTTTTTCATATGTTTTGGCCATAAGAGCTAGAAATCATACTGTGTTTGCCTTTGCTATTTGTTCACGTAATTGTTACTGGTTTGTGCCTCTAGAATTTGGTCCAGAGAAGTTTTGGTTGGCTCTTGTTGTTACTGTTTTAATTTAAATTCATTTGCTACCATTGAAAACTTAAGAGTTTTGCCAGGTGTGGTAGAATACACCTGTATTCCCAGCTTTTGTGTAGGTTAAAGCCTACCCTAGTAGGAGGATTAGTTAAAAACCCAGGAGTTGTAGGCCATCCTGGGCAACCTAGTAAGACCCTGTCTCAAGAAAAAAGTGAAAAGGGTAAGGAGGGAAAGAGAAATGAAGGAAACTAGATGAGAATTTTCACATTAGAATCTAGATGGCTTCTTTTGGGGGGTCGGGGAGTTGAATTTAGGCCTTTGTGCTTGCCAGATATGTGTTCTACCGCTTGAGCCACTCCCAGCCCTGCTTTAGCTATTGTTGAATTAGGGTCTTGAGCTTTTTTACCCCCAGAGCTGGCTCTCAGACTGCAATCTTTCTACCTGTGCCTCCTGTGTAGCTGTGATTACAAGTGTGTACCACAACATCTAGCTTGTTGGTTGAGATGGGATATTGCTAACTCTTTACCTTGCTGACCTAAACTGCTATCTTCCTGGCCTCTGCTATGAAAATAACTGGAATTGCAGGTATATACCACATGTCCAGCCCAGCATGCATTTTTGATCCCTGCTTTGAATATGCATTTTGGGAAGCATTGTACCATTGTACTTTAAATCTTTAAGCAATTTAATTTACAAAAACAGCTCTTTGTTTTCATCTTAACCAAAGTCAAAGGTTGGAAAATTTGCAAGTAAAAGGCAAAATTACTATTCTTCTATAATATGAAACATTCTAAGATATATCTTCATGTGTAGTTTAGTATAACCTAACTTCTGCTTTCTATATGAACTTTTTAGGTTAGGTGGCCTGATTAAAAAGTATTTCATTCCTGGAAAAATTAGGTTAAATAACTTTATCTTACAGAGCACTCAACTTGCTCATATTCTGGATTTCTGTGGCAAATTAGCTTCACCTGTATAAGAATAGTAGATTATTATGAGGGTTTTCTGGGACCCTGTTCAGGGGAGTTTTATTAAAATCAGAATTATTCTTTATTTCTCCTTACTCTTAGGTACAGCTAAAGGTTGTCAAAGTAGTGGTAGATACTGACTTTTCCCTCTTGGGAAATCATTCTTTAAATAAATACTTTCCCAAGAAGAAAATGAATTACTGTAGTTGGTTCAGAACTACAGTCTACTTCTTTATCTAAACTCCATACTGAACCTGTTCATCAACAAAATACTTTGTTTATTCCCAATTTCATGCTGCATAAAGCCTGTAGAGTATATAATGATTACCTTCAAAGAACTCTTAAGTTTTCTTGGGGAGGTAAGAGTATCCTATGAGGCCTTAGTATAGTTATGCCATCCCTTGGGTTGCCACCAATATATCATATTAGCTCTTTTTTCGCCACTTGGTTTATCATGACCAAAGGGTAGGTAATTTGGGACTCACAGCAATTTAACCCTTAAGAACCCCATGGAAGACTAGATGCATGGCTCAAGTAGTAGAGCACCTGTTTTGCAAGCACGAAGCCCTGAGTTCAAACCCCAGTTCTACCCAGGAAGGTAGGAAACCCATGGAGCAGGCATGGTGAGGCAGGCCAGCAATCCCATCTATTCAGGAGGTTTAGATTGGGAGGATCACGGTTCAGAGCCAGCCCAGGCAAAAGAAAAATAAGTTAGTGAGACCCCCATGTCAATAAACAGGCTGGACGTGGTAGTGCATGTCTCTAATCCCAGCTAGATGAGAGGCATAGGTAAGAAGATTTGGGCCCAAGGCTGGCCTCAGGCAAGAAGCATGAGAGCCTGTCTCAAAAACAACTAACATGAGAAAGGGCTGGGGGCATGGTCAAAGTGGTAGTGCACCTCCCTAAAAAGCACAAGGCCCTAATTTCAGAACCCATTACCACTAGAGAGAGAAAGAGAGAGAGTGACTGAATGACTGACTGACTAACAGATTCATGGAATTTCCATGGCTAGAAACCAGCTATATCCCATGGCTCTCCACCAATATAACACATTACCCTCAGTATGCTATCTGAAACCACACTACCAGTAGCCCATACTATATATTTCTGTAGCGTATTCCTTTCTGTATGTGCAATTATATTCAGGGGGCAAAGGGAGTAGTTAAGCATGTGTATCATTGCTTATTAAGAACCCCACTTTTACCTGAAGGTTAATGCATGGTCAGTATCTGCTATTATGGCTGAAGTTTCTTCTTACCAGTTACATATACTTTCTGCTTTGAAATTACTTATCTTTATCTTCTTTGTAAGTTCTACCATTCTTTTCTCTTGAACAAACCATGAGCCCCTTAAATCAAGGCAAGTACATGAAATAAGTTTCCTCCCATGTCCATGCAAAAACAAAACCTTTAGTCAACAGGATACCTCATACTATTCCTGATGAGCTTAGAATAGCCACCAGAGCTCCACACAGCCCCCACTAATTGATTGGAAATAAGCCTGTTCACCATCCCTCTCTATAAGTCCATTAACAAAGCCATAAAATTCTGAAACAACCATAGAACAATTAGATGATTTATAATAAAGTGCCTAGTTTTTAACTCATTGCCTAGATCATTACTTTAAATAATTTTTTTCCAAATAGCAAATCAAAATCTACACTCCTAAGGAATTTTTGCAGTCTTGTAGTATAAGAGATTATATTGACAGTATAGTTTTGATGCCAGTATATTGAAATTTATATAACATTTCATGGTTTTTCAATGATTTCTGAGTGTTACACAGAAAGAAGCACATTTTATATTTCAATAGCTGTGTAATATAACCAGCAAATAAAATCCATGCTTTCCTAGGTATTATTGCTTAGGATGAGACAAGTTTTAAGTTGTGATTTTAAAAAAGAATAATAACAGTACAAATGGAACAGTAAGACAGAAATGGTAGTAGAAGGCAAAAGATAAGTTTAAGCAGTGCTGGTTTATGCATGCAGTGGACAGAATATTGGGAACTTGGGACTGCTGTAAAAATCATAGGTGTATAATGACCACCGCTATTGCTGTTCTATGAAAGTGGATCTAGGGGGTTTGGAATAGTCAGGGGAAGTGTCCTATGGATGTTGTAACTGTTAGCCTACATCAATAAGAACAGTCTTTGAGGTATGCTCAGCACTGCTGTGTGTACCGCAGGCCAATCCCTGGGAAATGCATGCTTTACCTGTGGAATCTGTCACACAGTAGAATGGATAAATGTTGGAGTGTCTTGGCCAGATTTAACCTGAACACTGCTGGAATCCTGTGTTGGAGGAATCTGATCACCTTTACTGTGGTGCCCTCTATATAATACTATAATGATAATACTGTGTGAAGGAGGAACAAATGTTGAAAGATGATCCTGCAGGAGGTACAGAAAGTTTTCCATACAGATTCAGTCTGCTGAGCACTATTCCTCTGCTAAATTAACTGACCAATCTGGACTTGAGGACAGTCTTCTCCTTTGGGCAAATGTCCATGCAGAGATATTTAAGCCTCCTAATAAGTAAGGGTTATTTTTGGGTTTTTGTTTTGGTTTTGGTTTTTTTTTGCCATGCTGGGGCTTGAACTCAGGACCTTGTGCTTGTTAAGCAAGGGCTCTACCACTTGCACTACAATCCAACCTTTTTTGCTTTAGTTTATTTTCAAATAGAGTCTCAATCTTGCCCCTTCCTTACCCCTAAGAGCCTACCTCAGATGGTGATTCTCCTACCTGTGCCTCCATGTGGCTGGTATTACAGGCATGTACCACCATGCCCAGCTTGGTGGTAGAGGTCTTACTAACTTTTTGCCAGGACTGGCCTTAAGCCACAATCCTCTCAATCTCTGCCTTCCCAAGTAGCTGGGATTACAGATGTGAACCACTACACCCAGCTCTAATAATAACTTTTTATCTTCTAGACTAATTCATTAACAAACTTGATTCTCTTTGCAATCATTCTTGTTAATATGTATAATCAAAATAGTTGATTTACTTTGAAATATTTTGTTTTTCTTAATTACTTTTAAAGAACATATATTTACTAACTCCCTTTTGTTTAACTTGATACCTATCCTCATTCTTTATGATTAACAATTCTAAAACCTTATTTTGTTTGTTTTTTGAGACAGTCTCACTGTGTAGCCTAGGCTGGCCTTGAACTCACGGTACTCCAGCCTCAGCTTCTCCAGTGCTGGGATTAATAGGTTTGCACCACCATACAAAGTTTAAATTAAACCATGTAAAAGATTGAATGTGCTAGAGAATATTCTCTGGCATGTAAACACTAGATAGAAATTAGGATGTATTGGAATGTCCTAATAACCGTATTCACTGTCTATTCAAGTATGTTCCTGTCTTTATACCAGTTAACAAGTGCCTTGAAGAACGTAATGAGGAAAAAAAAAATACTTGATATGACACATTCATTTTTCACAAATGTTACACATTAACGTACTTGGTTTTTGTTTTTGCAGTACTAGAGATTGAACTCAGGGCCTACACCTTGAGCTACTCCACCAGCTCTTTTTCTGTGATGGGTTTTTTCGAGATAGGGTCTGGCAAACTATTTGCCCAGTCTGGCTTCAAACTGCGATTCTCTTAATCTCTGCCTCCTGAGTAGCAGGGATTTCAGGTGTGAGCCACTGGCACATGGCAGCATACTTGTTTACACAATTGCAAAGTAAAAATGAGAGCGTGGTTTGGTGGGGGGGGGGGTTGTTTTTTCACAGCATGTCTTTTTAAAAATGTAATCAGTGAAACTTCTATTAATGTAACATAAGCTATGACAATCAACTCAAATTTAATTTCCCATTGCTAAGAAGTTGAAGTGAGTTTAGCTAAAAGAGGCAAGTAGCAGTAAAATATATCCAGTGCCCTTCTCAGAATATATTGAATTGAAGTGAAATTGTCTCTCTATGTGCATCACTGTCAGTGAAACAGCTTTTTGTTTTAAATAAGTGCTGGGTTTTTGAAAGCATAACATGTAGTTTGTTGTGATTAGATGAACTGATGTTTCCCTAAACCACATAGTGTTTTTAAAAAAAAAAAAAAAAAAGACTGCAAGTCTTACTATTTAAATGTTGACATCTTGAAAATGAGTAAGTACTTTAACAAATTACATACATCTTTTAAATAATCTCCATTGTTTTGGAGAAATTATTGATTTGTATCTTCAGATTTGAATTATAAATAATATTATTAAGTATGTCCCAGTTTACATGAATAATTCATTTAAATCTGATCTCCAGAAATTCAAATTGCCAGGTGCTGGTGCCTTATGCCTGCAATCCTAGCTACTCAGGAGGCAGAGATTAGGAGAAATGCAACTAAAAGCCAGCCCAGGTGGTTCAAGAGATCCTACCTCAAAAAACCCATCACAAAAAAGTGTAGTGGCTCAAGGTGTGGACCCTGAGTTCAAACCCCAGTACTGAAAAAAAAAAAAAAAAAAAAAGATTCAAGATTATTAAGATTATTATGTAGCATCTTTACGGTGAAAGAAATAACACAGAATTTTCAAAGAGTGCTACTGTCTAAACTCAGAATGCTGTGTGCACTGAATCAGGAATGAGCCCTTTGACATGGGCAAGTAATTCAAGTTCCTAAATACTAACTTAGCTATATCCTCAGCTAACTTAGTGGTTTGAGGTCAGGTATTTTACTAAACACCTCTGTAGTCATAACTAATTTTTTAAATGCTGTTAGGCATGACCTACAGATAAGAAGCCACTTCTTTTGATCAGATGGTCTATAGTTAGTATAAAACAAAGATAATTACTAGAGCTTACTGACTGATTGAGGCCGAAGGTAAAATAGTGGGACCTGATTGAAGCTGAGGTAAAATAGTGGGACCAGAGAACTGAGAATGAAAGGAGAGAAAGGGAGAGAAAATAGAAAAGGTGACTGTGGTGCAGAAGAGTTTCATTGCTATTGCTTTGTGTACCATTTGGGAATCAGTGTCATAAGATACCTACCCCTTTTATTGTTTTGTCTTCTTGAGATAATTAGAACAAACACATGATTGTCTGTAATTAAAGTATTATTGATAATGATTAATATAAAGTACATGGTGGTTTTATTCATTCATTATTCATTGCTAAAATCTTACTTTCCTTAGGAGAGCATTTGTGTGCTGTACAGACATTGATACATCTCTCTTAATGAGTTGCCTTTAAAAAAAAAACACACTTAAGGGAATTCATAAGTAAGTTTTTTCATTAATTGTTAAGAAATATTTTTCTTTTATGGAATTCTTACAAATTAAAACATCTGCTTAGTAGGCATTTCTAGTGAGAATAACTTTATGTAGTCATAGGTAGTCATTACTTCCCAGCATGTTTTATCGCCTTCTGACTTGTGTTATATTTGTGTGCTGTTGTCTTCTCCCCTACTACTAGACTTAAAAAATGTTGAAAGCAAGAATAGTTCTGTTTGCCTTTAGGTTTCCAACAGTGCAAGCATACGTGGTGAGTGCTCAGTAAATGTGTCAAATTGATTTAATTAGATTTTGTTATTGCCTTACAGACATCAACTAGTCAGGCAGTTTTCCATCTCCAGTCTGGCATCTGCCATCTCTTCCGAGAAACTTTAATTAACAAAGGTTTTGTGGAAATCCAAACTCCTAAAATTATTTCAGGTATGCTTCAAAAATACCTTTAATTAATGTCCTTTAATTTTTTAAAAATAAAAGTTGTTTATAGATTTTTGTTTAAACTGGAGAATCCCAAAAGTCCCATACCTATGAAACTATTTCAGAGACCATGCAAATCAACAGTGACATATCACCACTATAAGTTTCTTTCAAAATTGGTATTGCAATTATGTTTTGTACAAACTGCATTGTAAAATCACTGAATACCTACCAATGGGAAAAATCACATTGTCATACTATTTTTTGGTGGGACTGGAGTTTAAACTCTCAGGGTGTCACACTTGCAAAGCAGATGCTTTACCACTTGAACCATGCCCCTAGTCCATTTTGCTCTGGTTGTTTTCGAGATGGGTTCTTTGTTAACTTTTTGCCCTGACTGGCCTTGAACTGCTTTCTTCCCAGTCTCAGCCTGTCAAGTAGCTAGGATTATAGGTGTGAGCCACCGGTGCTCAGCTTAATTGTCCTTCTTGCATGAGACGCTTAATCATTTTATCCTTTTAGATAAGTTGCTTAAATAATACTAAAAAAAGAATGTGTTACTTATGGCATTCAATTACATATAAAAAACTAAGAATTAACATTCTTGATAATTAGGAAAATGGTTAAGAACACCTCTTTTCCTCTCTTTTTGTTTTGTTCTGTTTTTTAATTTTTACAGCTCCAAAGTAGCTTTAGTAGATTTGAAATTAGTGCAGGAAAGAGAACACTTATATCTATAAATATAAATCTAGCTTAAAGATAAACCATATAGAATCTTATACAGGAATATAGAAAGAGAGAGACTGATTTACCTGCAAGTCTTGATTTTCCAGTTTTTCTTTTTCCTTTAAGTTTTTCTTAGGTTTTTCTTTTTCCTTTACTCAAATCAGAAGTATAAATTGTTTTTATTAAAAGCTTACACTGATAAACATATAATGATTATATTTTTAGCTGTAATAATATAAATGTTTCCATTTCAGCTGCCAGTGAAGGAGGAGCCAATGTATTTACTGTGTCATATTTTAAAAATAATGCGTACCTAGCTCAGTCCCCACAGCTGTATAAGCAAATGTGCATTTGTGCTGATTTTGAGAAGGTTTTCTGCATTGGACCAGGTAAGATTTTGTCAGTTATGGTTTTTTTCTAAGTTCATTAATCATGGAGTATTATGGTAGTAGAAACACATTTTACACAAGTAAGGTACAGACATTTTGAAAGCTTAACTCCTTTTATGTGCTGACTATGCAAACACTAGACTTTGAGGACTTGGACAAACTCAGTGGAAAAGCACTTGCTTAGATGCAAAGGCTGCTCTGGGTTTGATTCTCAGCACCAAGGGAAAAACAAAAAGTTAACTTTTCAGTAGAAATGGACAAACATTTAAGCATCACCCATATGAATAGAATCATAAGTGTTATATAGTCTCACAGAAGAATGCTGAAGAAAATTTTTATCTTGAGATACCTCATTTTAAAAATACATGCTTTGAAAATATACACCCTCTGAAATACATACAACCATATTATTTATTGTACCTAAGTATGGTTAGAACAGAACTAGTTCCAAATACTATATTTTGTTGGCCTTTATAAGCTCTAACTATTGTTAGAAATTTACAGTGTACCTGTCTACTTTACTAACAGGCTGTTCTGTTTCCTTATTATTGTTTGTACTGTCCTTTGTATTATGCTAAAGTCCATTAGAAAATCAAAGAAATGTCTTACATTTATTTAATAGATTATATTAACATAGTTTTTAAGGTATATTTTTGAAAGCCAAGTACAAGCCATATTCATGTGGCATATTTTTTGTGAAGCTAGGGGGGCAATACTGGGATTTTAACTCAGGACCTTATACTTGCTAGGCAAATGCTCTACCTCTTAAGCCATACCTCTAGCCCTTATGAAGCTGATTATAAGCAAAAAACCAGCCTTACTTCATTCTTTAAAACTTACCAAGTTATTTTACATATTTTGGTAGCTTAATAAGAAATTAAGTAATTGCTAATAGAGAAACTGGCAAGATCATTAAGTGTCTTAATTTCTGAATTTATTAACCAATTATTTGAACACCTGCTGCATATATATTCTTATGTTAGATACCTTGTACATAAAGAAGAGTCAGCCAGCACTTCTCAAATGTTAATACACGCAAATCATCAGGGAATCTTACTCTAATGCAGACTCTAGGCAGTAAATCTGGAATGAGCTGAGATCGTGAAGTTCTCATAAGCATCCCAGATACTGTTGTTGCTCCCAATTTGCAGGTCATGTTTTGAATGTCAAGGGAATACATATTGCTCCTGCTTCCAAGACTGAATAAGACATGAATACACTTAGCAGTAACAGGCAATAATCAAATGATTTTCAGAGCAAATAATCAGATTGTGCTGTACAAGTCAACAGATTGTTGTTAGTTATGTAGTAAGTGTTAAAAGAAGAAGAAGATGGAGTATACTAGAGTCACCATAAAAGAAAGAAGAAGATGGAGTATACTAGAGTCACCATAAAAGAAAAGCCAAACTGAAAAGAGCTTTTATATAAACAATAGAGATGATATCCTAGTCAGAAGAACCAGGATAAGTGAAGAACATGAACTACCACAAAAAAACAAAAGTAAGATAATATCAAGAAGACCTGGGAACTAAGGTTAGGATTAAATTGTGAAAGCATAGAGGTTTTGGACTTCCTGTCATTTTATGTCTTATTGCAGTGGTCATTTGAAAACCATTGTAAGTTATAGGAATATTAATCTGGCAGTGATGTGAAAGATGAGCCAAGCTAGAGGCAGAAAGACTGGAAAGGAGGAAATGCAGTAAGCATAAGAGCTGGACTGAGGTAATGGCTAGAATGTATATAATGTTACTTCATTTGTACAGAGTTTGATTTAGCTTGAGTCACGTTTTAATGAAATTGAGAAAAACTCACTATAATGGTCATAATTAAGTTAATTTTTAATTATTGAGAAGGTACCACAGCATAATCCCTTGGGGATCTCATAGCCTCAATTATCAATTTACATTTGGTATAGTTTTTACTGTATGGCTGTAGAAGTTCGTAATGAACTCTCTGTTTAGCCCTATAGTAATAAGAAAATAGTACCACTACTAAATGGAAATTTGTATTTAAATCGCAATTTCACTAAAATTTAAATAATTTGCTGTTTATTTCTCCTGTTAACTTCAGTTTTCAGAGCTGAAGACTCCAACACCCACAGGCATCTAACTGAATTTGTTGGTTTGGACATTGAAATGGCTTTTAATTATCATTACCATGAAGTTGTAGAAGAAATTGCTGACACCTTGGTCCAGATGTTCAAAGGACTTCAAGAAAGGTAAAAAAAATTTAAAAGTTTTAAATCTCTAGATGGACTTAAATCAGTTTGGGTTCTTTTTAAGTTCAAAGTTTTGTTTGTTTGTTTGTTTGTCTTTGAGATGGGGTCTTGCTGTGTAGCCTACCCAACTTTAAAAAAAATAATAATCTTGAGTTGGAACATGTAAGCTTAATTTCTATTGGGCATACTTGCTAGTTAAATAATCATTTTAAATATCTTCATGTCCTCCATAAAGATGTTTGGATTAGATAGGCATGGTAATACACACTTGTAAATCCAGCTTGGGATGCTGAGGCAGGAAGATCAGGAATTCAATGCCAGCCTACCCTGCATAGTAAGACTCTGTCTCCAAAAAGAAAAAAAAAACCAAGATGTTTGGATCAAAAAGGGCCCTCATACACCCCAGAGGACCCATACAATGATATATCACCTAAAGATATCGTAGCTCATATAAGTACACTCTATGATGTTCACACAGTGACAGAATCATAGCCCTGTCGTTAAGTGACACATGACTGTGGTTCGAAAAATATTCACTCAAAATATGCTTCTGGGGCTGGCAGAGTGGCTCAAGCAGTAAGAGCACCTGCCTAGCAAGAATGAAGCTCTGAGTTCAAACTCCCGTGCCTCCAAAACAAATATCCTACATATACACAAAATATGATCCAGACCCAAGTTAATCAACTTGGTCCAGATCGTTTTAGTGGTAAAATTTGCCAGATCTTGAACATCTCAACTATATTTTTTTCCTTAACAGTGACATCCTGAATGTCTAAAAAAGCAGAGCATTACTTTTATAGCTATTTATTATTTGGGAGGTAATATGGAATAATTAAGAACTTGAATTTTGCTACATCTTGCTATATAGCCTAAATTCAAATCCCAGCTCTGCTAAGACACAGAACTATGTGGGTCTTGTGTAATCTAGTTACTTCTGTGCTTCATTTTCCTCAGATATTAAGCTCAGTGGTAAAATATCCCTTCAGTCTACTAATATTAAATATTCACTGAATCTATCCACATGTAAATTAAGTCTGTCAAGAATGGTTAATTATTGAGTGCTCAGTAAAGATTCTAAACTAATAGACTATGTGAACTTTTTTTCTGTTTGGATCTAGTGTGTTAACATTTATGGAAATACTAGATGTGTTGTAGGTGTTCAGGAAATTGGTCCCTTTAGGTACACACTCTAAACTCGCAAATACTTTTTCCCTTAAAGGTCACAGAAAGTTCTTTACTTGTGATGATGTTTAACATGAAAAAAGTACAAAAAGAAAATGGGAAGCAAGTTGATCAAGAGTCTTTTCTTTCCATCTCCATCCTCATGAATGTACTTCAAATATTGGACTCTAGCACATTTGTCTAACATTCTAATAAAATCCCATATTTGAGATTTTTATTTGAAGACCACTAATTTAACAATTCGTCATTGACATATTTGATATGCTTCATTAATATTTTTTCAAAGTTCAAAAGTATGAATTTTATCTATGCCCTTGCAAGACTAATGGATAAATTCAAGAATGCAGAAATTAGATGACAGGCTTAAGTGATAGAGCATCTACCTAGCAAGTACAAGACCCTGAGTTTAGATCCCAGTAATGCAAAACAGAGTATTTAAAAAAAAAACAGAAATTAATCATTGATCTTATATAAGAGTACTACAGCATATGAAGCAGTATTTTCCAAGCATTCTCTACATTGCTATCTTTAATGAGTTACATCCATCACTTTTGGGTTTTTGTTTGTTTTTGTCAGCCCTTTTTTGTGATGGGTTTTTTCAGTATATGGTCACATGAACTATTTGCCCAGGGCTGACTTCGAACCATGATGGCATACAGCCTTTTTGTTTTGTTTCACGTTTGTCTTCTGAAACATTTTTGGTGGAGTTTATTTTAAATAACTGTCATTCAAGTATCCATGGGACTACTAATGTTTCCTTGTAATACAAAATATCCTTTGAGACTATGATGAAAGTAAACATAGCTTTTCTCATTTTCTTTTTACATTTATAATTCAAGAAAGTTTCTGAAACTTGTTTTAGGTATTCATAGCTTTTCTATTTAATATGAGTGTGAGAAATTTTCACTTTGGTTATAAATAACAGACTAAGCATGAATTGGGCCCTTTAGATTAATCAAATGTCTACTTAATATAGACTCTGACACCATTATTGCTGAGCTTTTTTGGTAAACTTAGATGACAGTTTGAAAATAAAAGCATCTTTATGTCATAGAGGTCATTTAGGAATTTAAGTTTCTATGTTGCTTATAACTTATCAGTTTTGTGTCATGTTCCTCTCATGTTCACTATTAGGTTTTATCTCACACAAGAATAACATGAATGAGTTAATTTAAAGCAGTGATAATCATTTTTATCTACCTTTGATAGACGTGAATGGATGGGTATTCAAAGCAATGAAAAGCCATTTAATCATTCAAAGCAATGAAAAGCTTGCTGTGGTGGCATAGGCTTTTTTTTTTTTTTTTAATTTGCAGTACTGGAGTTTGAACTCCAGACTTAAACCTTGAGCCCCCGCACCACCTCTTTTTTGTGAAGGATTTTTTTTTTTAAGATAGGGTCTTGGGAACTATTTTCCCTGGGCTGGCTTCGAACTGCTATCCTCCTAATCTCTGCCTCCTGAGTAGCGAGGGTTGCAGGTGTGAGCCACCAGCACCCAGCAGCACAAGCCTTTAATCACAGCAATTGGGAAGCTGAAGCAGTAGAATCACAAGTTTGAGATCAGCCTGCGCTACCTAGAGAAACTCTGACTCCAGAAAACAAATAACAATCAGTGAATTGGGTCTTCCTAACCCTTATATCAAGATTTGAATAAATCCATGGCTAAGTTTTATTGTTCCCATGAGTCTTTAAGAGCAATTAAGGAGTCAATATTTTAATTTCTAGAACACAAATCCTAGGTAGAGTATTGGTATATTTTAGAATATAAGTACAAATTCTACGTGGACGATTCTATGTAGAGAATATACACATTCTTTTTTGTTTGTAATACTGGGGTTTGGACCCAGGACTTTCACATGCTAATCAAGCACTCTACCACTTAAGCCATGTCCACAGGCCAATATAAATATACTTTTAAAAAATCTGTTTAAATTACTGAAATTTTCAAAACACACAAAAGTATAGACATTAGTCTAATGAACCTCAGTGTACTCATCACCCAGTTTTAAATTGTCAACCCATGGCTAATTTTGTTTTAGCCATTTTCCCTAACCCACTCTCATTTCATCTGTAAGTACTTTAACAAAAATATGCTCAAACTCCAGTCCCACCAAAAAAAATAAAAAACCATCCACAGCAGAAATTCTGTTCACTCCAGTTTACATTTGATTGGGGCTACCATATCTATACAGGATAGACTTTATACCATAGGGATTATCAAAATAGGAAACAAATTGACAATTTTGAACTTGCAGCAATAGAATGGGAAGGGGAGAACAAGACAAGTATTCATCAGTTTGGTCTTCCTGAGGGTAAAAAGTGTTATTAAAGAATTACAAAGTTGTATTTTTTAAATGTCTCATAAAATGGGTATTTTATTTTTCTAACAATACTAGCTGATAGGAGTCATAAGGAAAACATGTAACCCGTAATCCTTTAATGCCACTGTGATTACAAACACATGAGACTGAGAAATGGCATTACATACTTTAAGTATTTAAATTTCATTCTTTAACTTAATAATTTGATGACGCTTTTCCTGGTATGTACCAGGTTGGCTTATAGTGCTTCAAATAACTATTTTGTATATTGCCACAGTGACCTCTTGTGGGGGAAACATTTATCTCACACATTTTACTAACTAAATCATTGTATATACAGGTTTCAGACAGAAATTCAAACAGTGAATAAACAGTTTCCATGTGAACCATTCAAATTTTTGGAGCCAACTTTAAGACTAGAATATTGTGAAGCATTGGCTATGCTTAGAGAAGCTGGAGTTGAAATGGGAGATGAAGAAGATTTAAGGTTTGTCCTTACGATTTTTTAAGCTTTTGTAATTATGAATAAGGTATACAAGAATGAATATGTTAATAATTATTTGTTTCACCTAGGTGAAATTATTAACTTTGGTATATAGCATGATACTTTTTTATGTAATATATGATCTGAAATAAAATTATGCTTAATTTGATTTGTCTAGGCTTCGATAATTTGGTTTATGAACACCATTTTCACTGTCCTTCCCCCCTCATATTCTTAACCCTTTAAAGAGTATAGGAAATTTTGCCTGTGATTTATCACGTAATGTGTTACTTCTCTTTCCAAACCAGAGGTGTTAGAGAGCAGTCTAAATTATCCCCATACAGGATTAAAACATAAAAATGTTAACATCTCCAAAGATTATGAAAATCACTGTTCTTTATTTGATACATAGTATTTCATTATCCAGAATCAGATCATACAACTTATAATTTTGAAACAAATTATATAGTTTAATAAAGATTGAAGGGCTGGTAAAGTAGCTTAAGTGGTAGAGTGCCTGCCTAGGAAACTTGAGTCCCTTGCATTCAAGCCCCACTACTGCAAAAACATTTTTTTTAAAAAGAGAGAATTCCTATCAACTTACATTTAATGCAAAGGTTCCAAGTTAAAATATTTAAGTCATCACAATGATACATATGTATGTGAGAGGGAAAAGGAGGTGACTGTCGTGTTTGGGACATTTTCCAGAAATATATTGTGCTCAAAACCCACTATTTCTGTTTAAGAAAAATATGATTTTGAGTACTTCCTACATGGCCACATGACGCTTTAAGGCAAACCATAACTTTTATAATTACTTCAAGTTGAGCAGTATTTTCTTAAGTATTTTGAAAATTGTTCTTAAATAGCAGAGACTAAAGAAGGTAAGTCTTGATTACAAATACTTAATATGTTTATGTAAATGGTATTACTACATTTTAAAAACTTGGAAATACTGGTTTTTATTTGCAAATCTTTGATAAAACAGTACCAAAAAGGAGAGGCCATTTAAATGGCGAGATTTAACCAATGTTGGTCTAGTGAACTTTTATTATATGTAATTGTAGGAAATTATTTCAACCCTGATGTTTTTGAATCAGTGAATTGCTAAATTCTTTTTGGCTCTAAATATGAGAACAATACCTTCTAAACACCAAGTCATTGTAATAGTCTATTCTTTTTTTTTTATTATTCATATGTGCATACAATGTTTGGGTCATTTCTCCCCCCTTCTCTTACCCCCCCTCACAATGCCCCCTCCCTTTCCCCGCCACCCCCTCGCTACCCAGCAGAAACTATTTTGCCCTTATCTCTAATTTTGTTGAAGAGAGAGTATAAGCAATAATAGGAAGGAACAAGGGTTTTTGCTAGTTGAGATAAGGATAGCTATACAGGGAGTTGACTCACATTAATTTCCTGTGCGTGTGTGTTACCTTCTAGGTTAATTCTTTTTGATCTAACCTTTTCTCTAGTTCCTGGTCCCCTTTTCCTATTGGCCTCAGTTGCTTTTAAGGTATCTGCTTTAGTTTCTCTGCGTTAAGGGCAACAAATGCTAGCTAATTTTTAGGTGTCTTACCTATCCTCACCCCTCCCTTGTGTGCTCTCGCTTTTATCATGTGCTCAAGTCCAATCCCTTGTTGTGTTTGCCCTTGATCTAATGTCCGCATATGAGGGAGAACATACAATTTTTGGTCTTTTGGGCCAGGCTAACCTCACTCAGAATGATGTTCTCCAATTCCATCCATTTACCAGTGAATGATAACATTTCATTCTTCGTGGCTGCATAAAATTCCATTGTGTATAGATACCACATTTTCTTGATCCACTTGTCAGTAGTGGGGCATCTTGGCTGTTTCCATAACTTGGCTATTGTGAATAGTGCTGCAATAAACATAGGTGTGCAGTTGCCTCTGGAGTAAACTGTGTCACATTCTTTTGGGTATATCCCCAGGAGTGGTATTGCTGGATCAAGTGATAGATCAATGTTTAGCTTTTTAAGCAGCCTCCAAATTTTTTTCCAGAGTGGTTGTACCAGTTTACATTCCCAACAGCAGTGTAAGAGGGTTCCTTTTTCCCTGCATCCTCGCCAACACCTGAGGTTGGTGGTGTTGCTAATGATGGCTATTCTAACAGGTGAGGTGGAATCTTAGTGTGGTTTTAATTTGCATTTCCTTTATTGCTAGAGATGGTGAGCATTTTTTCATGTGTTTTTTGGCCATTTGAATTTCTTCTTTTGAGAAAGTTCTGTTTAGTTCACTTGCCCATTTCTTTATTGGTTCATTAATTTTGGGAGAATTTAGTTTTTTAAGTTCCCTATATATTCTGGGTATCAGTCCTTTGTCTGATGTGTACTTGCAAAAATTTTCTCCCACTCTGTGGGTGTTCTCTTCAGTTTAGAGACCATTTCTTTTGTTGAGCACTCATGGCTATAAACTTTCCTCTGAGGACTGCCTTTGCTGTGTCCCATAGGTTCCGGTAGGTTGTGTTTTCATTTTCATTGACTTCCAGGAACTTTTTAATTTCCCCTTTTATTTCATCAGTGACCCATTGTTCATTAAGCAATGAGTTATTCTGTTTCCAGCTATTTGCGTGTTTTTTGTCTTTACTTTTGTTGTTGAGTTCTAGTTTTATTGCATTGTGATCAGATAGAATGCATGGTATAATTTCTGTTTTCTTATATTTGCTGAGGCTTCCTTTGTGCCCTAGGATATGATCTATTTTGGAGAAGGTTCCATGGGCTGCTGAGAAGAATGTATGTTGTGTAGAAGTTGGATGAAATGTTCTGTGGACATCAAGTAGGTCCATTTGATCTGTTGTGTATTTTAGGTCTAGGATTTCTTTATTGATTTCTTTGTTTGGATGACCTATCTATTGATGATAATGGGGTGTTCAAGTCTCCCACAACCACTGTGTTGGAGTTATTATATGCTTTTTAGGTCCTTCAGGGTATGTTTGATGAAATTGGATGCGTTGACATTGGGTGCATATAGGTTGATAATTATTATTTCTTTTTGGTCTATTTCCCTTTTATTAGTATAGAATGTCCTTCTTTATCTCCTTTGATCAGTGTAGGTTTGAAGTCTACTTTGTCAGAGATAAGTATTGCTACCCTGCCTGTTTTGGGGGGTCATTGGCTTGGTAAATCTTCTTCCAGCCTTTCATCCTAAGCCTATGCTTACTTCTGTCAGTGAGATGGGTCTCCTGTAAGCAACAAATTGTTGGATCTTCCTTTTTAATCCATTTCGTTAAACGGTGCCTTTTGATGGGTGAATTAAGTCCGTTAACATTAAGTGTTAGTACTGATAGGTATGTGGTGATTCCTGTCATTTAGTTGTCTTAGTTGTTTGAAGGTTTGATTGTGTGTACCTAAGTTGAAGTTATGCTCTACTTTCTTGCTTTTTCTTTTCCTGTAGTTTGGTGCTGCCTGCCTTTTCATGGTTATGTTGGGTTTCACTTTCTGTGTGCAGAATCCCTTGAAGAATCTTTTGTAGTGTTGGCTTTGTGGTCACATATTGTTTTAGTTTCTGCTTATCATGGAAGACTTTTATTGCTCCATCTATTTTGAATGACAGTTTTGCTGGGTAGAGTGTCCTGGGGTTGAAGTTATTTTCATTCAGTGCCCGGAAGATCTCACCCCAAGCTCTTCTTGCTTTTAATGTTTCTGTTAAGAAGTCTGCTGTGATTTTGATGGTTTACCTTTGTATGTTATTTGTTTTTTCTCTCTTACAGCCTTCAATATTCTTTCTCTACTTTCTGTACTTGTTGTTTTAATGATGATATCCCGTGGGTATTTCTATTTTGATCTGGTCTGTTTGGTGTTCTGGAGGCCTCTTGCATCTGTATGGACATAGATTTCTCTAGATTTGGGAAATTTTCTGTTATTATTTTGTTGAATATATTACGCATTCCCTTCGCTTGCACCTTTTCTCCTTCAATGCCCATGATTCTCAGGTTTGGTCTTTTGATGGAGTCGTTGAGTTCTTGTATTTTCTTTTCACAGGTCTTGAGTTGTTTAACTAATAGTTCTTCGGTTTTTCCTTTAATTACCATTTCATCTTCAAGTTCTGAGATTCTGTCTTCTGTTTGTTCTGTTCTGCTGGATTGGCCTTCCATTTTGTTTTGCAGTTCTGTTTCGTTCTTTTTTCTGAGGTTTTCCATATCCTGAGTTGTTTCCGCTTTAATGTTGTCTATTTTTGTCCTGAGTTCATTTATCTCTTTATTAATTGTGTTCTTTGTTTCACTTTGGTGTTTATACAGTGATTCTATGATTTCTTTTATTTCTTCTTTTGTTTTTTCAAATTCTCTATTTTTGTTGTCTTGAAATTTCTTGAGTGTCTCCTATATGTTTTGGTTGACTATATCCAGTATCATTTCTATAAAATACCTGTAGTATTTCTTCTTTTAGATTATTCTTGTGGGCTTCATTGGGTTCTTTGGCATAGTTTATCTTCATTTTGTTGGAGTCTGGATCTGAGTATCTGTTTTCTTCATTTCCCTCTGGTTCCTGTACTAATTTTTTGCTGTGGGGAAACTGGCTTCCCTGTTTTTTCTGTCTTCCCGTCATTGCCCTTGGTGTTGTTACTGTCCCTGTACTGTGTGCAATTAAGTATTTTCTAGCTTGTAATAATAACAATGGTGATATTTAGAATGGAAGGGTGAGAGGAGATGGAAAGCAAAGAAGTTAAAGAAAAAGGGAAAAACAAATAAGTAAAAGAACAAAACAAACAAAAAAAAGTTTCAAAGATATAAACAGGGAGAGATAGTGTACTAATCAACAGTAAGCTGAACAGGCATTAGACAGTGAAAGGATTGAAAAAGAAATGAAAAATGAATTTAAAAAAATCTCCAAGTTCAAATGCAATAAAGTTTCAGTCCCTCAGCCTCCAATCCTGGAGATGGTGTCTCAGAAGTAGTTCTGTCATTGTCTCATCAAAGGGGGAAAAACCAAACCAAACAAAACAAAACAACAACACAACTCTCCTGTGGAGTTTTCCTCCCACTGCCACTTTTACAAGCTTTCCTGCTCCTGATTGCTGGGCATGTGCTACCACTCCTGCCTACTCCAGACAGCTTGTTTATTTACAGCTCACATGGGAAGTGGGTCTTCCCCCTTCTCCTGTGGAGTTTTTCTCCCACCACCACTTTTACAAGCTTTCCTGCTCCTGGTTGCTGGGTGTGTGCTGCTGCTCCTGCCTTCTCCACCGGCTTGTTGTGAGGGATTTCCCCTCCCCCCCTTTGGCATTCAGGGTGCCCCACCCTCTTTGCTATGTGTCTTTTTTGTTGTTATTGCTTATTATTCAGTTTTTTTTTTTCCCCTGGGTAGGGGTCAGTCTGTCCACAGGGCTATGCTGATCTGGCACAGGGTTGTCTGTGGGAGTACCGCGTGCTGCTTAGCTCACCTTGTGGTCCACATCTTCCCAAGCTGTCTGGGTGCTGCTGTCTGGCAGCGGCGCGAGAGCTCTCCTGGTTTCTCCATTTACCTTGAAGTGGAGATGCTATGCGCAGGCTGGAGGCATGGAGGAGTCAAAGTTTTGCCTCTTCTCGGTGGTTTTTCTTGTAAGGTGTATCTCCAACGTCTCTCCAAAATTTTACTTTAGGAGGCACGCTTTCTGCTTCCTCCCTCTAGTCGCCATCTTGGAATCCCTCATAACAGGTCTACTCATAAGTGGTTTTCTGTAATACTTGCATTTTGAAAACAGAACAGGATAGATAACTGTTTTGGCCAAATTTGAAAACTTCAAATGGAAGAGGTGCCTTCTTAACTGAAAACTCCTTTAAGTTGCTGTTTGATCTTCAAACACCTGATTTTAAAAAATGTTTGGTTTTTTTTTTCAGCACACCAAATGAAAAACTGTTGGGTCGTTTGGTAAAGGAAAAGGTAGGACAATTTTGTACATGTTGCCTCTCTTTTTCTATATCTGAAACGTATCCTGGTTCAAGTGAACAACTGCAGAAAATTCTAGGAATCTCCTTATGATTTCAGAATAAATTAAAAAAGGACAATGTTGTTTTTCATTACTAGAAAAATGAAAACTTTTAGACAGGCTCTGTCCAAACAGTTTGTTTAATTCAGTATTTCATATCTGTGCTAAGTTGTAATGAGGTGCCTCTAAATGATATCACGTTAGTTAGAAGTGACCTCAAAATAACTTGCTATTATTTTTAAGAAAGTCTTCCCTGAATATTCCTGCTGTCTTATGAGACTTGAAAATGAATGAGCTTCCGTTCTGCCACTCTACTATCTCATTTTCTAAAACTAAAACTGCAAAGAAGATAAAAGCTAAACTTAATTTTTTTTTAAAAATTGAGACAGTATGTAATGGAAAGAAGAAAGTCCTTGAGCTCCTCCTAGTGGTTGCACTTGAAATAAATTAATTAACTAGGCAACTCATAATTTTGAAGCCATATACTATTAAACTTGCACCTCTAAAATTCTGTTTCAGCAGAAACAATTCCAGTTTGTCAATTCTCATCTCCAATTTTAGAAAAAATGTTTGAAGTAAAAAAACAATTGAGGTTGGTGGAGTGGCTCAAATAGTAAGTGCCTTCCTAGCAAGCATGAGACCCTGAGTTCAAACCCCATTGCCACACACAAAAAAAAATTAAAATGTAATTGACTTATTTTTAATTAAATATGGCTCACATATTTAACTAAATACTAATATAAGTTAATACTAATATAAATTGTCAGATTTATTTCTTTGTATTGTTGGGTTTTGTTTTTCATTTTTACTAGCAAATACTCATTATACAGGGAAGATTCACTGTGACAATTCTGAATAGACTTTGTAGTTTTCATTTAAAAGAAAACTACCAAATTTTATTTCTGTATCCAAACAAAAATTTAAATTACTGGAAAATTATCAAATATTTTTTGAGCTATTAATATTGTAAAAATGTCAGTTTTCCCAAAATAATTTCTAGATTTAACATAGTTTCTATGAAACCTCACAGGATTTCATGTAATATGAAAAAATAGTTTGTAAAATTAATCTGAAAGACTAGATGAACTAGAATAACAGAGGAAAAAATGGAGCTCAAAGGCATTCATTGCAGCATAATTTATGATGATGAAGAAATTGAAGAGATATTACATATTAAAAGAAATGAGTGAATATTTGAACTCTGCACAAACAGTTAAGAGCTCTCAAAAATTAGGTACTGGAAGAGTTTATAGCATGGCAAAATGTTACACAATACAGATGTTCCTTGAAAAAAAGCAAAATACTCATTGTATGTAATACTGTAATTACAGTAATTTTGAAGAACAAAAATTTATATATTAAAGTTAGCCTTTTTTTAAAAACTGTATTTTAATTGTATTTGTTCTTTTTATAGTATGATACAGATTTTTATATTCTTGATAAATATCCATTGGCTGTAAGACCTTTCTATACCATGCCTGACCCAAGAAATCCTGTAAGTAATTTGATTTTAAATAACCTATTTAGAGGAAAAAGGGAGACTTTATTATTACTGTCTCAAGTCATATAATGGGGTTAATGATTTTCAGTATCAACAGACACATTGTTCTACATGTGGTACTGTATCTGTCACTAGAGATCAAAATGGCATTGTTAAATTTGATTCTGGCAAATTCATTCTGAAAAAATCATTTTCCAGAATCATTTTTCTAATGAGTTATGACAAAGAAAGACTATATAGATAGTAAATAGTACTACTAGATTTGCAAATTTTAGTAAATCATCTTATCATTGACTTTAAACTGGGAGTTCACATTGTATTTTTGAAGTAGAAATGAGTTTTACTTCACAGTGGTTCCCAGACATTAGTGTGCATCAGAATCACCTGGAGATCTTTTTTAGACTATTGATTGCTGTGCCTATCTCAGTTTCTGATTAGTTACTACTGGGTGGAGCTTGGAAATTTGCATTTCTAACAAGTTCCCAGTAGTACTGAAGCTACTGGCCCAAGAATCAGACGTTGAGAGCCATTGTTTATTGAAAGGCAGGGGGAAAGTAAGTTAAAACTGATGTTTTTAGGAACAGCTTAAGCACTGGATAACTTTCAGTTTACTTTCTTTAAAAGGGTTTTCTTAATTTAAAAAGGCTAAGTACCTGTTGGTAATTTGAGTTCCAAAAATGACCTAAAATCATATCACAATTGTAATGGAAAAAGAATGATAGCACATAAAGACTCGTGAGTTTTGTTTGTTTGTTTCTGCAGAAACAGTCCAACTCTTATGATATGTTCATGAGAGGGGAAGAAATACTGTCAGGAGCTCAAAGAATACATGATCCTCAGCTACTCACAGAGAGAGCTTTACATCATGGAATTGGTAAACAACTTAAAATACATTTAGGGCAGTGTATATTCTGAAAACAACACTTTGCAAACATTTTAAAGTCTTTTTTTAATCTTCATTAAGCAATAGTTGGTTTTGTAATTTTTAAGCTAAATAAAATTATTTTATATATTTACTTTATTTTTTTTTAGATTTGGAGAAAATCAAGGCTTACATTGATTCCTTCCGCTTTGGAGCCCTCCTCATGCTGGTGGAGGCATTGGTAATACTGTATTGCACAGATTTTAATTACAAGCACTTTTAAATGAAGTATGACTAAGTGAAAATTTTATTTCCAAAGCACAAAATGAATAGCTAACTTGTTTACTCTAAAATATTATAAGAAGATTTCAACCATTCTTTTCCTCTTAAGAGTTTAAAAGCCTAACATCTTACAAGTTGATTCTGGGCACCAGTGGCTCACGTCTGTAATCCTAGCTACTCAGGAGGCAGAAATCAGGAGGATTGTGGCTCAAAGCCAGCCCAGGCAAATAGTTCATGAGACCCTGTCTCGAACAACCCTTCACAAAAAAGGGCTGGTGGAGTGGCAAAAGGTATAAGCCCTGAGTTCAAATCCCGTACTCCCCCCACCCCAAAAAATAAAAAGGTTGAATATCCTATGGTCTGTGTCCTACCTTGAGTCATTCAGGTTAGCCCTAATTAAAAGTCCCCCCTGGAGTTAGCTCAAATTCATTTATTGAAATGTAAAATTTTGTTGACTTTTAGAACTGGAGTATATGTAAGTCACCTTTCTTACAGTTTTTTAACTGAGTAAATATTTAATTCATCTTTGAATGTCCATATCAAAAACTCTTAAAAAGAACTCTTTTTGTTTAAGTTTTTGTGTGTTGTTGTTTGGTAGGGTGTTTTTGGGGGTTTGTTTTGGTTTTGGTTTTTGGTTTTGGTTTTTTTGGTGAACAGGTAATAAATACCTTTATGAAAATGTCAAATTAAAAAGGTATAAAGGACAATCGTTTCTTAGTGGGTCTAAGAAAACTAAAGGAATGACATTTGGACCCTTACCTAACACCAGATACAAAACATTACCCAAAATGGACAAAGGACTAAATATGTGACTCATAACTAAACTCTTAGAAGAAAACAGTACAAAAGTGTAATAACATTGGATTTGGCAATGGGTTCTTCTTGGCTATATTAAAAAGGCACATGCAACAAAATTTTTTAAATAGCCAAATTGGGCTTTTAAAAATTTTGTGAATCAATTATCGAACTGGAGGTGTACCTAAGTGGTAGACGGCTTAACCTAGCATGCATAAGGTCCTAATTCAGTACCCAGCAACCAAAAAAACATTTTTTAAGACAATTAATAGTAAAAGGCAAACCACATAATGAGAGCAAATATTTGCATATACTATATCTAACATGTAGATGTATGTAGAGAATGACTAAAACTCAACAATTAAAAAAAAAAGCCAGGTGCAGTGGCTCATGCCTGCAGTCTGAGCTACTTGGGAGGCACAGATAGGAGGACTGCAGTTAAGGCCAGCCTTGGCGAAAAAAAAACAAGTTGGGCATGGTACCATATGTCTGTAATCCCAGGTGGGATTTCCTACTGGTAGGAAAATCAAACCCTGTGGCTCTCTGAAAAATAAGTAAAGCCAATAGGGCTAGAAGCATTATTCCAGTGGTAGAGCCCTTGGCTACAAGTGTAGGGCCTTGGTTAAACTCCAGGATCACCAATAAATACAGAATTTTTAAATGAGCAAAATTAGTGAAATGCAAATCAAAACTTTTGAGATCCTCTTTCACCCCAGTCAGAATGGCTTTCATCAAGAAAACAAACATCCTTGGTACAATTCTACATTGTTGGTGGGAATTAAATTAGTGCAGCCACTATAGAAGTCAGTATGGGAGTTCCTCATATGATCCAGCTATACCACTCCTGTATATATACCCAAAGTATAAGTCATCATACCATAGAGATACCTGCATTCCCAGGTTCATTTTTTGTTTGTTTTGTGTTTGGTTTTTTTGGTTTTGTTTGCGGTACTAAGGTTTGAGCTCAGGGTCTTCACCTTGAGCCACTCCACCAGCCCTATTTTTGTGATGGGTTTTTTCAAGCCCTATTTGCCCCGGCTGGCTTCAAACTGCCATCCTCCTGATCTCTGCCTCCTGAGTGGCTAGGATTATACGCATGAGCCACTGGCCCCTGGCTGCATTCCCAGGTTTTTGCAGCACTATTCACAATAGCCAAGCTGTATAATCAGCCTAAGTTCCCATCAACAGATGAATGGATAAAGAAAATGTGGTCTGTATACACAAAAGAGTGCTCCAACATCAAAAAGAATAAAATTGTTATTTGCAGAAAAGTGGATGGAACTGAAGATCTTCATGTTAAATGAAATAAGCCAGACTCAGAAAGACAAATACCATGTTTTTTCTTACATGCTAAACTAGATTTAAAAAAAAAAAAAAAAGTTTTAAACTACAAGGGGAACTATTTGGGAAGAGTAGGGGACAAGAGGTCAGAGAGCTTACTAGTACTCTTTCTGCAATCTGAGGATACAACTCTGCAGTCTGCAAACTTGGAAGAGGCCCCTCACCAGAACCTGACATTCTGGCACCCTGATCTTGGACTTCCAGCCTCCAGAGCTGTGTGAACTGATGTGTTAGTACCAGGGCATGTGTTTCTGTTGTAGCTGTGAAGCAGGAAACAATAGATGGAAAGGACTGCATTCCCAGTAGCAGCATCTTAAAAGACAGGAATCCACATCTAAGAGTAGCAGCATCTTAAGAGACATACACAAATCTAAAAGTAACAGCAATCATGAAAAAGCAAACCACCTGACTTCCATGAGGCTGTCAATAATAAATACACTTGATTTCAAAATAAGTAAATACGGGCAAAGACTTAACACAAATTATATTATACAAATCATTCAGTATTTAGTGTTTTTTTGTTGATTTTGTATGTTTGTTGGCAGTAGTAGGGTTTGAATTCAGGACTTGGTGCTTGCTAGGCAGGTGCTCTACCTCTTGAACCATACCTAACATTTTTTGCTTGTTAATGTTTTTTGTTATTTCGGAGCTAAAATCCCACTTTTTGCCCCAACCAGCCTGGACTGTGATCCTCCTCTATTTTCCACTTTCTGCCATAGCTGCAATGATAGGTGCATGCCACCATACCCAGCTTTTTCTGTTGTGATGTGGTTTTGGGGACTTTTTTGCCCTGGCTGGTCAACCGTGATCTTCCTGATCTCAGTCTCCCATGTAAATAAGTTGACAGGCGCACACCATTGCATCCAACTATTGGTTGAGATGTTGTCTTGTGAACTTCTGTCCTTAGGCCGTCCTCAAACCACAATCCTCCCACGTAGCTAGCATGACAAGCTTCAGCCATCGTACCCAGCTTACTTTGTGGTTTTTATGTAATGTATTTTGTAACTTATGTTATTTGTTTTTAAATCTCTACATGGAATCGATTGAAAAGAATACATAATAATCTTGTCAACTAGTTTTAGTGATGCATTTTCAGATTTTTACTGCTTTTTTTCTTATTACAAACTGCTACATATTAGGGCTATTTTCTCTTAGAATATTCAGCAATGTGCATTTAAATAAATATTATATAAATTTCTGTGATGATTGGCAATGTACATTTTAATTTTAATTATGAAGAGAGAAACTTGAATGGTTATCAAAATAACACCTGTTTTTTAATAATGAATATTTGAGAGAAAGAAGAGATACGGGGTTTTTTTTCCCAGATTAATCTTAGATCACTGTAATACAAGGTTCAAATTTTTATCTGCAAACTGAGCACTGGTGGCTCATATCTGTAATCCCAGCTACTAGAGAGGTGGAGATTGGGAAGATCATGGCTTGAGGTCAGCCCAGGCAAAAAGTTCGTGAAACCCTATCTCAACCAACAGCTGGGCACAATGGTGCAAACCTGTCATCCCAGCTATGTGGGAGATGGGTTGGATCACTGCCAACCAGCCAAGTCAAAAAGTTAGTGAGACCCCATCTCAACAGAAAAAGCTGGGCCTGTGTGTGCCTATCAGTCATCTCAGCAGATAAACTCAGAATGACAGAAGTTATTTTTCTTCTTAACAAGGAAAAACATTTTGTTGAACAATAATACTATGTTAGTAGTTAATAACTAAGACCCTGAGAGCCTTTCAGAAAAAGAATTAAATATAATGATTGTTTTGTTTTCTCAGGATTGGAAAGAGTGACTATGCTGTTTTTGGGACTACATAATGTGCGTCAGACCTCCATGTTTCCTCGAGACCCCAAACGACTCACTCCTTGAAGTCATACTTTTTATTCTTTCTAGTCAACTGCCATTAATCAAGTTGTACCTTAGATATTTAAAATATGTTGTGGAATAAATGTCTTATCTAAAGTACCACAGTTATTTTTCAATTGTTCAGTATAAGTTAATTTAAAAGAAGATTTTTATAACTTTGGACATGCTTCATTAGAAAATGCTTAAACATTTTAACAAAGGGTTCATATGGTTATGTTAATTCATATTCCATTACAATTTTAAAGTTAAGATAGTACAATTTTTGTTCTTTTCTATAATGACAGCCACAGAGTTAATATCTTAAATTTTCAACATTTGAACTTACTTTTTTAACTTTTGACATTTAGATAAGAACAATTGGAGAAAATCTAAAAATTTTAAAAATATGTAATTGGTGTATAATGGAAAATTAGACAAAAGGTATCAGATCTTAAAAGTTATACTCAGAAATCATGTAAAGCGGTGAAAATACTGACTAGAAATAAAAATAATACTGTATTGTTAAATTCTAAACCTGAATTTCAATAAAATTTTAAAGCTAATTATAGTTCGTCTTTTTGTAACTTTATGGCAATCCACTTATAACTGGTTGTTGGCATTTATACTTTGAGAAAAAAATACATACTAGCTTAACTTGTAAATGACTGAAAACTAATAAATTTTTAACATGTATTTCATGTTAAGGTAGAAGTTCAAACGGGTGTAAAAATGGAGCTCTTAAAGCTAATGGCTTAGGTTTGTTAAGAGTTGGTATCACATGAATTAAAAATACTGCGCAAGAACCTGTTTCATTCTTAATTGATAATAGTACCTAGTGAATGTCGTTAAAATGCACTCCCATCTTCCCCACAAAAAAAGAAATTACTCTAAGAATTGCAATTTTAGTAACACTTCTAGACTATTGACATATTTGATGTTAATGTTAATTACAGTGAACAGGAACAAAACAGTATGATACATATATTTTCTTAAGAAAAATAAGAGCCAGGTGTAGTGGCTTCACGTCTGTGATCCCAGCTACAGAGGAGCAATAGATAGAAGCATCTAGGGAGAGGGATCATGGTCCAAGCCAGCTCCATGCAAAAACGCAAGACTACACCTGAAAAAGAACTAAAGCACAAAAGGGCTGGAGATATGGCTCAAGTGGAAAACCACCTGCCTAGTAAGCACAAGGCCCTGAGTTCAAAACTCTGTACTACCGGAAAAAAAAGATTAATATGCAGGAAAATAGGAAGGCCAAAAAATAGGAAGTTACCCCTAACCCATAAATATCTGCCCATTATTTTCAGAAATTAAAGTGAACATTGTTTATTTTATCATCTAGATTGAGTTCTTTGAACATAGAAACTCAATTTTTTTGTTTTTCATACCTTCCAAAGTGTCTTGTATAATAGACATCCCAGAAGTGTTTCATAAATTTAGTCTATACCAAAAGTAAGATGAGCTGCTAACCATCTTTTCTTTACATTATGTAATTTCCATGCCCTGAAATAATACTGTAATAATGGCCTATTCTTGTCAATTTCATATAATTTAGCATCTTTCAAAATAAGTGGATCATAAAGTCTTAGAATGATATAATCTTCTTATTTAATTATTTTTTATTATATACATGCCAACCAGATAAAGTGGAAAATAGAAATCTTTGTACTTACCACTAGCATTATCAAATCTTAGCACTATCATATTTTCTTCCATATTTTAGATTCTTTTTGTTTTTGAGACAGGTTTTCATAACCCAGGCTGGCCTCAAATTCACGATCCCTCTACTTTAGCCTGCCTTCACCTCCAGAATGCTGGTACTACAGATGTGCACCACTGTACCTCGCCAGGCTCTTTTTTCCTTCTTTTTTTTTTTTTTTTTGACAGTACTGGGTTTTGAACCAGGGCCTTGTGCTTGCCAGGCAGGGACTTGAGCTACACCCAGCCTTTTGCTTTAGTTATTTTTCAAGTAGGGTCTCAAGTTTGTGCCTGGGTCTGCCTGGACTGTGATCCTCCTATTTACACTTCCCAAGTAGCTGGGGTGACAGGCACAATGCCATCACACCCAGCTCTCTGGCTCTTTTTTAAATTGTAGTAAGGTATATGGGTACTGAATATCCTTGAAAATAGTTTGCTTTGGGTTTTTGTTTGTTTGCTTTTTTACTCCCATAGGGATCTCATTAGCATTTTGTTTTCAAAATCATAAGAGAATTCAGTGCTGTTCATGCTGGAAACACCATCCAACTGAAGCATATTTAATAACTCAAAATGAAGAGCTTGAGGTAAATCTAATTAAGATACATTTAAGCACATAGGTAAATATCAGAATGTATCCCCTGTACAACTATGATAAGCTTGTCAAAAGTTGCACACATGGGAAATGATGCTGAGTTTTGGTCTCAGGCAGGCTGGCTTCAGAGCCTGTGTTCCTAACCCCTGCGAGTGCCCTTGTAAGTATTACTGTTCAAGGACTGGAGGTGTGGCTTAAGTCTCAGAGTGCCAGCTTCGCAAGCATGAGGCCCTGAGTTCAAATCCCAGTCCTACCAAAAAAATGGTCAGACTTTGGGATAAAGGATAAGAGAGAATGATGGGGTAAATTCAACTATGATATATTGTAAGAACTTTTATAAATGTCAGAATGTACTCCCAGTACAACAATAATAAAAAAGTATTACCACTCAATAAGGCATGATTAATCCATTACAGTGCTTTGATGTATTTTACATTTCAGCCCAGAATTAATTCTTTCCCCATGAATTCAGTGTACACATAATTTTGTTTCCTATTGTTTTAGTTTCTGGTTTATGTTAAAAGACAAAACAATTTTTTTCTATTGGAAATGGTACTCTTTTCTATTACACTTTTAAATTGTTTACTAGAGTAAAGAACATTGCCAGTTAACAGTTTATATATGCTGCTTTTATAAATGCAGCAACATTCCAGAGCTCTTAGTAGTTCTCAGTTTGTACTGAGTGTCAATGTATTTTCAAAAGTGGATAGACAGGTGTCAGCATAACATAGCAGTAAAAAGCATGGGTTCAGAAATGTCATTTGCCAGAAAGTGGATGGAACTGGAAATCATCATCATAATTGAAATAAGTCAGACTCAGACACATACTGAATGTTTTCTCTCAAGTGTGGAATGTAGATTTGAAAAGAAAACAAAGTAAGCCTATGCCAGTGGCCCACACCTGTAATCCTCACTAGTTGGGAGGCTGAGATTGAGAGAATCAGGGTTTGAGGCCAGCCCAGGCAAATTATTTGTGAGACCCCAATCTCCAAAATAACCAGAGCAAAATGGACTGGAGGTGTGGCTCAAATGGTAGAGCTGCCTTTACAAGCATGGAGCCCTGAGTTCAAATCCCAGTCCCCCCCCACAAAAAAAAATAGAATTTTGCATCTGCTGGGCGCCAGTGGCTCAAGCCTATAATCCTAGCTACTCAGGAAGCAGAAATAAGGATTGCAGTTCGAAGCCAGCCTAGGCAAATAGTTCGCAAAACCCTATCTTGGAAAAAACCCCAACATAAAAAAGGACTGGTGGAGTAGCTCACGGTGTAGGCCCTGAATTCAAACCCCAGCACCACAAAAAAAAAAAAAAAATGTTCCAGGTGCCAGTGGTTCATCTGGTAATTGTAGCTACTTGGGAGCCTGAGACCAGGAGGACTGAGGTCGAGGCCAGCCCAGGCAATTAGTTCAGGAGATCCCATCTCCAAAAAATAACCAAGCAAAATGGAGTGGAGATACAACTCAAGAGGTAGAGTGTTGGAGCCAGCAGTGGGAACTTGCCTGTGTGAGTTGGCATCTGGCCTTGTGAGGAAGCTCCAAGGAACTGAGGCAAAGGCCTCGGAACCAGACCTTGCCCGTGTGATCAGGTATCTGGTCTTCTGAGAAAGCCAGACATCCAGAAAAACAGTATTCAAAGTTCCCAGATGGCTTCATGTCCTTCAGATGTAAATAAGAAAGTTATGCTGACCGTGTGCTTCTCTGTTCCCGTTTTAAAGGAGACATAACAAAGAGTTAATTTTAACTGTGCTTCCCTGTGCTAATGTAACCTTAACACGTAATACTTGACATGCTTTTTCTAACCAAATGCTGTCTGTGTAAAAGCAGTTTATAAAAAACAATGTATACTTCATTAAAGTGGCTATTGAGCAGACTCAGTAGTCCCCTCACCTTTTATGGGTTTGGTCACCCAGGTTTCAGTAGAACACCTCCTTTGCAAATTCAAATCCCTGAGTTCAAACCCCAGTCCCACCACAAAATTTAAAATGTTGATTATTAGAATAGAAAAAAAAAAACATATCTTTCAACAAACATAAAATCCTGCAATCTCTGGAAGTATTAGACCACTGTTATACTCTTGCATAGTCAACCTGTTTGCTGGTTTTTTAAAGGATGTAGTTAGTTATGGAGTTATAAGTGACACTGCCTTTGGCATTTTCTTGACTGTGGAGAAAGTACAACGTTTTCTTAATTTCTGTTTCACTTCAGTCTGCTTATGCTTGAGGATTTCTTTAGATTTTGAGTTGTATTTGTTATCTTAAAACTAAGAACCAGGCACTGGTGGCTCATGCCTGTAATCCTAGCAGCTCAAGAGGATTGAGGTTCAAGGTCAGCCTGGGCAAATAGTTCAAGAGACCCATCTCCAAAATAACCAGAACAAAATGGACTGGAGTTGTGGCTCAAGCAGTAGAGCACCTGCTTTGCAAGCACAAGGTCCTGAATTCAAATCCCAGTCCAGCCCACCCCCAAAAAAATAATAACATGGAGGCAGGTGGAGTTTGGGAGGACTGGGGTGCGAGACCAGCCCAGGCAAAAAGTTTGAAAGATGTCATCTCAGCCAATAAAAGGTAGGCCCAGTAGCATGTGCCTGACACCCCACCTAGGCGGGAAGCATGAACAGGAGGATCGCCATCAGCTGGCCCGGGCATAAATTAAGACCTATTCGAAATACAGCTGAAACAAGCTGGCAGAGTGGCTCTCAAGTGACAACAGCACCTGCCTACCAAGCGCGAGGCCCTGAGTTCAAACACCAATGCTTCCCCCCAAAAAAAAAAAAAAAGCTAAAGCAAAAAAGGGCTAGGGTCATGGCTCAAGGGGTAGAGCACCTAGCAAGTACAAGGCCCTGACTTCAAACCCTAGTACCACCAAA